ATGTTCCATGAGTAAAATCTTCTAGCATTAGAATGGTGCATAAAGATATTTTGTGCTCTAGTGGGTAAACTTATTTATATACAACTCTGTCTTATGCTGCTAATCTTACTCTGTATGGACAGTGTGGTTTACATCAGTTGGTCGATTTCATTAAATTCATTCACCCCTAGCTGCCTTTGACATGAACTGCATGGTGAATAGCCCACACTCTGAATACTGAGAATATTGCCCTGTGACCAGGAAACCAGTAAACTAACACACAACAAGCTCTGGGTTTAAAATTCTATTAGTATAACTAGGTACACACGACCACAAATTTTAAATCAATAGAGACTGTGTGTAAATTGATTTAATGAACTATCTTAGTTGGAAATTGTTTGTCAAATGAACCTACCAAACTGTACAATCATTATGATAAACAATATACCATGACATAATTGAATATGTCTTCTATCTGTTCCCTTTTGCCTGCCTTTCAACTAATATTAATATAGTATTCTTTTAAGATGTTGTCAATGTAGAAAGGCTGCACAGTAGTATTGATGAATATTTTCCCTGTGTTATTATATAAATGCACATCTTTGTCAAATATATCCATACACTTATCAATGGTAATCCTCAGGGTATATAGTATTGGGACAATTAGCACTACAAATATATAATTTAATTAAATATATTTTCCAAACTATCCCACTTTTGTGAGCAAATTTCATAATTATATCCTATATACACCAGTTACAATTACATACAGTATTTATACCGTCCATCATTTTATCATTCTAAGATTAAAATCTGTCAGGAAAATGACATATACAGCTTATATCAAATTATATTTGCACAGACAAAGCATATATACTCAACTATGGTAGGCGAGCAAGCCCAGGTAATCATCTTTGTTTGCAAAATATCCAGTGTACAGTAATTCCCCAATAACTCAGGCAATGCAAAGCAATTAGACTCTTGTCATGAGGCATGCCAGCTCATTTCCATATAAAATGAAAATGAAATGTAATAGGAGATACCACTGGAACTTGCAACTTGAACCAATTACCTTTCAATGTAAACTCCCCCTTAGTTTTGTAACCAATATTGCATCACTATTAGAAATCTCATTGATATTAACCTGCAATATTATTATGCACTGTAATTACATACAGAGCCTGATGCAAGTCTTGACCCACACCATAGTTTTATTTTTAGTACAGGTATCCAATCAAAATGTGCCAGGAGAAATGTCAATTTCACATAATTTAACAACAAGCTAAATATAGTTACAATCACTAAATCGATCTATAATTATTTAATTATTTATAGCATTAATTAACCAAAATATAAAAAAAATACATTAAATATGGCATGAATACTCATGCTAGAAATAGCCATTCAGAGTTACAACCATAAAGGCAGCTGTAGGACACAAACGTTTAATAACATGTGTATCAGGTCTTCATTTTTCTTTGCCCGCCAGCTGTGAGAAAAATGAAGGTCTGGGCACAGGTTATAATCCCATGTAAACAGAGATGAAATTTGCCTCAATAAAGCAAGCTGTCAAGTTTGGTATTGGGGCTGGTTTGCCTCCAGACAAGCAAACCTCTCTTACTCGGTAAAGACTGTAAAATGTCAAACTACCTCATCCCCCCACCCCCCCCCCCTTGCTGGTATAAGCAATAGTATTTATAAATAGACACAAACTTTAATTATTATGTTAATACAAACAAATCTGCATTAACTGTGGAGCCCATTTTCCACTTTATACACTTCTTGAACTGAACAATGAACTACAATGTAAAATATAGATAAATTTCACTTACCGTTAGAGCCCTCAGTTCGAGTTTCACATAGTGGGCATCTCACAATACTTCAATTCTTGTACTCACATGAAAGATTAGATTCATTCCAAGCAGGGATGCCGGAACCACGGGTGCAGCGGGTGCAATTGCACCCCTTGCCTTTTGCTTTTTCAACTTTGTGGGTGCAGTACGGGTGCAGAATACGGGTGCAACGGGTGCACAAAGTGCCCTTTTTGCGTGAAAAATTTTCATTAAAATTGCATTTTTTGCGCAAAGGGCATTTTTGAAAAATTCAATATATGTTATTTCCGGAAAAATGTTTTAATTTCCGGAAAAAATAACATCTCCGGAAAATTTTTCGGTATGTCCGGAAAATTTTTTTCGTATTTAGGAAAATTGTGGTATGTCCGGAAAATTTTTTTTACCCCTAAAATGGTACACTGACCAAAAATTTTTTGGCGACGGGGGGGAGGAGAGGGGGGGGAGGTCGCCAAAAATAATTTTTAGATGCCCTTTCATTTTCATTAGTGCCCTTTTGTTAAGGAATATGCTCTCTTGTTAACCAATTGCACCCCTTGCCCCCAGCAACTTCCGGCATCCCTGATTCCAAGCCTTGGTAATTAATTCGGTAATTTGTTCTCCGTTTTCTCCGTCAATTTCGAGAGATATTTCTTCCCATTATTTGTCTCATTTGTATATAGTGTTTGCATATCCTTGCCGCCATGCCATGACATGAATCGAATGCCTCGTAACGTCACAGTAGATTTTGATTTTGCAATTTGCATCAGTGAACTGATGCGAGCGCCCGCAATCTACATGCGATGCATCGCTCAGCGGACAAATCTACCGTGACGTAGGGCTCTAAAACAATAGATTTGATAATGTGACAGTAGATTTCACGCGGAAAAGGACTCGGGACCGATGCATTCACTGATGCAAAATGGCTGAAAATCGACAGTGACCAAATCTACCGTGACGTAGGTGATGCATCAGCTTTCTACTGTGACGTCAAAGGATGCGGTAAAAAATAACATATTTTGTCGCGAAATTATTGACGCTTAAGTGTCGCAAAATAAAAAGTAAATAACAAAAAGTACACATTTGCGATCGCACGTCGCATATTGGACTTATTTTGACAATTTCGACTGTTTATATTGAGACTATTTAAATTGGATTTCATCCTAAATAGTGTATTCCTGACATGGAGTCAAGTTTAAGCAAATATTTGCGGTTTGATAGCTCGAGAGATTCAAAGATATTCTATTACTGAGTGCTTGACCAAGTATAATATGTCTATATATTATTTCAAGCAACATGATTTCTCAATTTTGACCGATGCATTCGCATCGTTGGCATCGGTCTGGATCCGCAGTGGTTTGGAAATTGTCCTACAGTGTATACTGTAATCTGCTTTGAAACTGTCTGTTTCCCTTGTTCAAATAATGTTCAACTATTTCCGGATTTGCCTTTATTATTGTAGGTTGCTGACGAGATAATTTTAAATCCCGAAGAGCTGGGCCCACTCTCGTATGTTGCAGGATACATTATTCGAACACTGTACAAAAAGTGTAAGAATTCTTCGCACTGGAACTCAACACGCTCAACAGAACTTCAGTAGCTACTGAAGCGAGCGAGACTCGAAAAGAAACTTAAATTAATTCTATCGACTAAGATCTTTATCTCGCTATTATTTCTCTGTGGAGACATGCAACTAAATCCCGGACCAATCAAGGACACATGTGGAATATGTTCGAAATCGGTTAAGGTAAATCAACGTGGAATTGAATGTGATTCATGTGATGTTTGGTACCACGTGCGACGCATGAAGATGAGCATTCATATATACGAAGCTCTGGCTAATTCACATTGCGTATGGGAATGTGGTAATTGCGGTTTACCGAATTTTTCCAGTTCCCTATTTGATTCATACACTGATAGTGCCAATACCAACATTTACCCAATATTGTTTTTTAAAACTGTATGTCAAAGCGCTGTTGTTTACAAAATAAAGTTGAAATATTTTTAAAGGGCCCGCTCATTGTTTTGTCGCGAAAATCGCGTGGAAATTCCCACGCATAGCGCGCGTGCTTGATTTTGTCCCGTGTTCATGTTCTTTCGCGTAACTGTAGGGAGCCTCCTTAAAGACAAATGAACGTAAATACATGAAATATTTTATTGTTAAAACATTAAATTAAGCACTGCAGTTGCTTAAAGCGAACGTTTAAATTACTAGGCATGTCCAAAGGTCGCACCTTCACGTGATGGAGCGCGTGATTTTTTTTCGTTATTTGCCGGTCGATGACGTATTGTTTCCCTCTGGCGCTGTTGCGAGGGAAACAGTCTAATTTCGTCACGCTGACGTGATATGCTCTCGACCAATAAAACACTAGAAAAATGCAACTTATGTTTGACTATTGGTATATAATAAACAGTATTGTGAAAGGTAAAGAATACTTTGCTAAGAAATAATTGTTTATATATACGGTATGTATGTTTGAATTGTAGCGGCATGGTAGTATCTGAAGCCCACAGGCCTTTAATCCAGCTAAATGACGCATGAACTTTATTTTACTCGGGTATCAAACTCATATAGCAACTTTAACACTACTGAAAGCTTGCGCGAGGGAAATTATCATTCAATGTCAATTATCACACAAAAATCAGAGAATATTTATCACTCAAATTAAATTAAACATATATATAAGTGGACAAAATTCATATCAATCCCCTAAACCCGTTTCACTAGGACAGTTAGCAGTGTATGCTGGATTACAGCAAAACATTATTTGACAGTAAAACATTATAATTATTTGATAGTGAAACATTTGCTATCATATTTTTGCCGGTCGAATTGAGTATAACATTACAGTAATTCTGTTTATGATAATGATGACAAATAACTTTAGCCTATACATTACCTATAACGTACAGTGCAATTCATATCACGGGTGCCGGTATACTATACGGCATGTCTTACGTAGTATATAATAAAGACCTACATATATAATCGCAATATTGAAATATAAATCTTGTAATTAGAAAGCGTATGATAACCGTTGTAGTCAGAAAACATCGGAACACGACGCCATAGTTTTCTGCGCTCGGTGAAAAAAACGCACGAACCGCAACCGTACATTGCACGAACCGCGACCGCAAACCGCACGAACCGCGACCGAACCGCAGTGTTAAGGCAGTACTCTATGCCATTGTTCTAAATATGTGACTTTTAATGACTAATGGCCCATATACAATTAGTATTCACTTACAGTTACAATGTAGTAGAGAAGTACAGCTAACCAAAATCCCAAAGTTAACGTTTACATGCATTCATAGCATGCAGATATAAACAGTAAATTGTTATTGTCTTTAATTAAAAACTAATTTGCAGGACTTATGGCAGTGGCAACAATCTATGGCAAGCTACAATCCTGGACAAAAGTGTTGGGACACTCAAACTTTTCCACCCTTGAATTCTAAAGACAACGCCCCAGTCCCCTCCCCTCCCCCACTCCAACTCAATGTTGAAAGTTCTTACAATTTTACTTAAGGATGCCCCCAAAATCAACATTGAACGGGGGAGGGGAGGGGGGTTCGGTTCAAAAGCATATTTTGCGTTAAATCTGCTTTCCTGCAGAAAACAATAAATACATGCGAAAATTTTGGGTTGTCCCAAGGACTTTTGGCCAGGATTGGCTAGTATACACCTAACAAATGTTTATTTGTCAACTAAACTAAAGTTATCAAGATAGAATTAAAAATCTCCTCTAGCTAGTTTAATTATTCCCATATTACACTGAACGATAAGAAAATCTTCCTGGTTTCCTCCTTTGTCTGGATGGTGTTGAAGACACAACTTGCGGAATGCGGTGTTGACCTCTGCGTTAGAAGCTGTCATTTTCACACCCAATTGTCGATAAGCGTTTTCCAGAGCTTCTTCTTTTGGTAGCCCAAACAACTTTTGTGTCAACCAATCAGACAAGTAATCCGTTCCGGCTGCGCATACCCATCCACCAACTATACCTCCGACTACAGTCCCAATAGGGCCCACAGCTGATCCCAAAGCAGCTCCACTAATACCACCTGCCATACCTGCTCCTATTGTGAACCCTGAATCCAGCAAATTTTTTATGAATCGTTTTCCTGATATTTCACCTTTCCACCAACGAATCAAATCAACACAGGCATTGTAGCAGAGGTATACAGCAGCCAGACCCACCATTACGACTGCGCCTCCCGATTTATTTGCTATACTTACGACATCGTCAACTATAGTCATCACTAACCTATTCGGCATTGATCCCAAGTAACTCAATACAGAAACTTTCGACTCATGAGGAATAATATTCCAGGCCCTTGTCAAGCCACCAAAGATTGACGCAGATGTAGAATCACGATTCAAGAGTCGGCTAGGATCTAATTTTTGGGAATCTTCTATTCCAACTGCGTCATCACAATGTGACATCATTTGTTCATGAACTATATTCATGCGCTTTCGAAATTCAGGATCGATTTCTGCTCTTCTTGTTTCATCTGAAAGCCGTTCGGCAAATTTTCGAAAAGCTTTATCCATCTTCACTGTGGCTTTCAAAGATTTCCAGTATGGCGAGTACGGTCGATCGACGTTGTCTTTGTAAGCTGTATCTTCTTTATCAAGGAAGAACAGTATTCTGCATAAATCGTCTTCCTTGTTTTTAAACACTTCAACGAGTTTTTCAACTACTTCATTTTCCCAACTTTCTTTTGTTGCATCCATGACGAGAAGCCTCTCTACAAAATTAATAAAAAGGGAAATTTATGAGTGTGCAATACTACAATTCAAATCAATTGATCTACACCTGCATTCCTGCATACAATAAATATGGGATTGTAATTTGATTCTACCAAAAGCGGCAGGCATTTTTGTTGTATTTCTAGTAACCTCCTCAGCTATTAACTCAATTCAATCCGCCAATATTAATTTCCGACGTATATGACGGGAAGATTAAATATGAAAGAACTTCGCGAGTATTTGCAGTAGATTTACGAAAATACCACCAAAAAATTCCGCTTGATCGAAACTATATATTCTGTGGATTGAGAAGGGTTTGCAATAATACCAGAGAGCTGTGGATTGAGAAGGGTTTGCAGTAACACCAGAGAGCTGCAGATTTACTTGCATTTTTCAGGTGTAGTAGAATCCAACTCCATCCGCAGCTTTTTTATATATATATATATATATATATATATATATATATATATATATATATATATATATATATATATATATATATATAATAATTTAATATTTTAATACAATTTTTCAATTGAATAAGTTGCTACTTTAAGTTTCTTGCAACAAGCAATCATCCTGATTGCTTGTTGATGATTGCTTGTTGCATGAAACTTACAGTAGCAACTTATTCAATTGAAAAATTGTATTAAAATATTAAATTATTATTATATGCTCTACAATTGTCTTGTATTGAGCACTCTTTATTCTTAAAAACGGGAAATTACTTTATGAAATTATATATATATATATATATATATATATATATATATATATATATATATATATATATATATATATATATATATATATATATATATATATATATATATAGCTTAAGATTTTGGTTTACGAAACACAAACAGTGCTCAATACCATATAGATAGAGCGTAATATAGTTTTTCGTTTTACCTCAAAAAACCACAACAGTCTGTTTCATCCGTATAGGAATCATCAGGTGGTGAATAATTTCGAAATTGTAGGTTGCTTTTATGCTATTGAAAGAATGTTCGGAATGCGTGTAGGCGAAACAATGCTTAGGTGAAACAATGCATGCTTGGGTCATTAGGTTTTGTTAACGACCTTGTTTACTCGAAACCGGTTTTTGTGACGACATTTGCCGAAAATTTCGCTTCTTTTTTTGAGTAAATTGTCTTTGTTTATGTCTTTCAAAATGCAAAATTTTTCTTCCAAACATAAATTGCAGCGTTTTGATCCCCCTGTGTACGAAATAGCGTGTTTTAAAATTGACCATTTGATGGTATAATCCTGATTGTTTTCTTTTAATTTCCAAATATGTTTCGAAAGTTCCGTTTTGTTTGAGTCTTTTTTATGACGAAAAGATGAAGTGTGGTTAGCGTAACGTTCCTTAAATGTAGTCGCTGTCATACCAATGTAGTGGTTAGTGTCGTTCGTGTTGTTCGTTGTGACTGTTGCTTTGTAAATAATGTTGTTGGTCATGCATTGTTTCGGTAGTGGGCAAGTGTTTTTGTTGTCGCAGTTACAGTTGTCAGTTTCCGTATTCTGTGATTGACTGTTCCTAATTATATGTGCGTTGTGTTTGGTGATTATAGACTTAACGTTGTTCATGCAACTGTAGCTTACTTTTAAAGTGTTTCTGTTAAAAATCTTGTGTAGTTTGTGCTGTAGTGGGAAGTGTTTGTCAATTAAACTCAAAAATTCCCGTCCTATGTTCGTGTTAACACTCTTATTAAATGGTGGGTTGAACCAAATTATGTTGCGTTGCCTATTCCTACGTGTCCGTTGCGGTGCATCCTGAGTGTACGTAAATTCATGATCAAAGTTACTGTGTGTAAGAGCGTTCTGGTAAATAGATGTGAATTCCTTAAATGTTTGTTCGTCCGATGAGAGAAGTGCAATGCGTTTGTTGATAGCTGTAGGTAATTGTCTTGTAATGCTTGGTGGATGGTTTGAGTGTCTGTGGATGTACAATGGATCGTCATTGGGTTTCCTGTATGGTTTGTGTTTTGCGTTGATCAGGTCGAAAGTAACATCTAAAAATTTACAACGTTCATATTTACTTCGGCGGTGATTTTAAGGTCAAATTGCTCGAAAATTTTGTGTAGCTCTTTTCTAGTTTTGTCTAGTAAACGGGCGGATTTGCTTTTTATAATAGCCAAACCATCATCTCTATAAAGGCCGATGTTTTCCTTGCCAAACCTCTTACCTAAGTGATTTAAAATGAAAAGGCCTACCAGCTCACAAATTTCAGCGCCGTCGAAACTACCCATAGTGATTTCAAATAAACTGTTGCTTCCGTCTTTTTCTGTCCATAATTTGCCGTTGCCGAAAAGTAGAGATGTTCTTGCGTGGGATATATAATTATATATATATATATATATATATATATATATATATATATATATATATATATATATATATATATATATATATATATATATATATATATATATACCTTTTCAGCCTTTCGTCTAACAAATCGCCTCCTTCAATTCCACTTTTGAAACCTTTCGAAGACGACTTGATAAAACTAATTGAAAACGTAAAATTCCGCCGTCCTAAAGACCAATTTCAGACATGTTTGGCTAACGATTTGAAGAAAATTAATTCATCCCCCAACATTTTCATTTTCGCGGACAAAACTAGAAACATTTACGAAACGTTACTGAACACATACAACGAACTCTTACATGATAACATCACGAAAACGTACAAACATGGATCAGAGGACTTCATACATGAAATTGACTCCGAATTGAAAGAAATTTCGAGTAGGTTAGGAATTGGCGACAGAATTGAACGAATGAAAAAACGCGAAGCATTTATATCTTTAAAAGATCACAAAGAAAATTTCGAAAACAATCCAAAATGCCGACTAATTAATCCCGCAAAAAGCGAATCCGGAAAACTAAGTAAGGTTATTTTAGATAAAATCAATTCCAATTTGAGACAAAAACTAAATTCAAATCAATGGAGAAATACGCAACAAGTAATTTCATGGTTTGGCAATATAAACGATAAAGACAGGCACAGTTTTATTTCATTTGATATTGTGGATTTTTACCCATCTATTTCCGAAAAACTTTTAAATGAAGCATTGGCCTGGGCTTCGGATTTGACTACTATTACCGAAAACGATATTTCAATAATAAAACATGCAAGAAAATCTCTACTTTTCGGCAACGGCAAATTATGGACAAAAAAAACGGAAGCAACAGTTTATTTGACGTCACTATGGGTAGTTTTGACGGCGCTGAAATTTGTGAGCAGGTAGGCCTTTTCATTTTAAATCACTTAGGTAAGAGGTTTGGCAAGGAAAACATCGGACTTTATAGAGATGATGGTTTGGCTATTATAAAAAGCAAATCCGCCCGTTTACTAGACAAAACTAGAAAAGAGCTACACAAAATTTTCGCGCAATTTGACCTTAAAATCACCGCCGAAGTAAATATGAACGGAAAACCATCCACCAAGCATTACAAGACAATTACCTACAGCTATCAACAAACGCATTGCACTTCTCTCATCGGACGAACAAACATTTAAGGAATCCACACCTATTTACCAGAACGCTCTTACACATAGTAACTTTGATCATGAATTTACGTACACTGAGAATGCACCGCAACGGACACGTAGGAATAGGCAACGCAACATAATTTGGTTCAACCCACCATTTAGCAAGAGTGTTAACACGAACATAGGACGGGAATTCTTAAGTTTAATTGACAAACACTTCCCGCTACAGCACAAACTACACAAGATTTTTAACAGAAACACTTTAAAAGTAAGCTACAGTTGCATGAACAACGTTAAGTCTATAATCACCAAACACAACGCACATATAATTAGGAACAGTCAATCACAGAATACGGAAACTGACAACTGTAACTGCGACAACAAAAACACTTGCCCACTACCGAAACAATGTATGACCAACAACATTATTTACAAAGCCACAGTCACAACAAACAACACGAACGACACTAAACACTACATTGGTATGACAGCGACTACATTTAAGGAACGTTACGCTAACCACACTTCATCTTTTCGTCATAAAAAAGACTTAAACAAAACGGAACTTTCGAAACATATTTGGAAATTAAAAGAAAACAATCAGGATTATACCATCAAATGGTCAATTTTAAAACACGCTATTTCGTACACAGGGGGATCAAAACGCTGCAATTTATGTTTGGAAGAAAAATTTTGCATTTTGAAAGACATAAACAAAGACAATTTACTCAATAAAAGAAGCGAAATTTTCGGCAAATGTCGTCACAAAAACCGGTTTCGAGTAAACAAGGTCGTTAACAAAACCTAATGACCCAAGCATGCATTGTTTCACCTAAGCATTGTTTCGCCTACACGCATTCCGCACATTCTTTCGACAGCATAAAAGCAACCTACAATTTCGAAATTATTCACCACCTGATGATTCCTATACGGATGAAACAGACTGTTGTGGTTTTTTGAGGTAAAACGAAAACTATATTACGCTCTATCTATATGGTATTGAGCACTGTTTGTGTTTCGTAAACCAAAATCTTAAGCTATATATATATATATATATATATATATATATATATATATATATATATATATATATATATATATATATATATATATATATATATATATATATATATATACATTAAATAGAGGAAGGACTAACTTAGATTTTGATATATTACAGTTGCATTTTACTTAAAAATTCACGGAGATATTAATGTTCAAAATCGGGAGCATATTTTGGGATGTGTCTAAAATTAGCGAAAATCGGCGTATCAAATTTTAACTCCAGCGTTTGTTTGCTTAATGACATATCAGGGTAAATTGTATTTCAGCGAATTGTCGTTAGGGTTTGTAAGGGATATGGCGTAGATTTAGACATATTACATGTAAGTCTTAACTTATTGTTTCCTGAAATATGAACGTTCGAAATTATGTAAGTATTTAATAGGTCTTTGCAAACTTAAGGTACTGAAAGACCATGCAAGGCAGGAGCTTCAATTTTTCTTAAATAACCTATTTTTTTATGTTTTTCATGGGTTCAAAACAAAGTTGATTATTTCTCGGTTAGAGCAGGATTAATAGATATAATAATACTTTGTTTCATAATAAACAATTTGTCAAGTGTCATTTATTTACTGGTAATAGTGCATGTTTCAGTCGGGCAAATCTTGATTAATATTTGATACGCTGATTTTTGCATATTTCAGACACATCCAGAAATATCCTCCCGAATTTAAAGATTAATATCTCCGTGAATTTTTAAGTGAAATACAACTGTAATATATCAAAGTCTAAGTTAGTCCTTCCTCTATTTGATGCAAGTTATTTCTCTTTAAAAGCTATACTTGTTTAGATGTTATTACGAATCAAACAGGAGTACTTTTTTTGGGCCACCCGGTATATATATATATATATATATATATATATATATATATATATATATATATATATATATATATATATATATATATATATATATATATATATATTAGTGTATGTTAATTAGGATTGGGCCGAAGGTATTTAAAGACATGGATTTGAACTTATCTCGTTTCTGACGAAGGGGCTGTGCCCCGAAACGTATCTTTACTTTATGTATTTATTGATTTATTTGAAGTTCAATAAAATTTATTTTCAATTTGAAGCTTGATAGTTTTTCGTTTTACCTCAAAAAACCACAACAGTCTATTTCATCCGTATAGGAACCTTACCCTCGCCCCACACCTAACCCTAATCCCACACTAACCCTAATACTAACGAAAATTCTTATTTCGATTTTGGACCATCTGGCAAACTACCTCTCGTCCATCCCTTTTAGGGGCTGTTTATATGATCCCGCTTAAGCGAGATTCAATGAAGTGTTAATTATTTTGAGCAACTGAAATACCTAAACAAAGTTAGATAACTTTAAATATTATTTAAATGAAATTAGGAATTCGAACGCGCTAGAAGTTATGTAGTGGAAGAAGACATTAATAGCATTCAACAACACGTGTGGGGAATCCAAAAAAAGTTTTCCAGACTAACATAACCATAGTCGAAAAAATTTTTCCGAACTAACATAAGCATATTCAAAATTTTTCGACCAAAATAATCAAGACCTCCAATTTTTTCACCGCAAATATAACAAAAGCTTCAAAACTGTTACAATTGCGAACCATTTCATAACTTTGAGCAACTTCGAGTTTTACCTTCAATTTTAAGGAAATATATATATCAGTTATATTTTGGCTAACTTTGGGCAAATAACAGTTCCATTTTGACCAACTTTGACCAACGTTTGGATTATTGGGGGGGGGGGGGAACACCCACCCCCCACCCCCACCCCCCACCCCCTATAGCGACGTTCCTGTTAAATAAATAGGCACAGCTACTTATATGCAATTAATATATGTACAGATTCTATACTTTTTCAAAAACGAATAACAATGCAAAGCCTTTTTAAAGACTATATTTACGATGTTTTGTTATTTTTTCCACTCCTGTTTTCCCCAGTATTCCCAAATACAGTATAAATAAATAGTAAAATAATTTTATAGGCCAAAGAAGAATGAAATTTATATCACATGCACGGAAAATATTTTGCTATGCGCCAGCAGTGCTTACAGGTATATTTGCCTCTAAAAAGTATTTATCTTTCTTTTAAAGGTGATGTAAAGTCCGTAATGTAAACAAACGCTTTGTTTACATTTTGAACTCACTGCTACAGTTGTAAAATATGATTAGATACATATTATACTGAATTTTTAACACTGTTCTGGTTCGTTATGCTTGTAAATGAATACAGACTAGAGATTCAATTCAAGAAAGTTCGGAAGGTGCGAAATATTAACAACATTCGAAAGGTTGCTCCCCCACTGATGGCCGGAATGTTTTGATGCGCAGAATATATGCGCAGAACGGACTTTACCGCATCTTTAAACAATTACCCTATAAATACAACTCAATAATCAGTGAGTTCACATATGAGCACCGAAAACAGTGATGTAACGGAGGAAGAGGGGGTCCTTAGGCATATTTGGTGAGGGGGCCCCTGTTGACTGTTGTCATTGTTTGATTGAGATATTATATTTATATTGAATATTTATAGAATGTTCTGGAAAATTCCGTGTCTATTTAAGAAATAGATTACATTTTCCCGTTGTCTATTCAGTTATAGATACACAGTATGACGTCATATGTGGTAAGAACAAAAAAGTCGCAGCTGAATGACTGAGTTGAGATTTGCCGAGTTGCTAGCTTTTGTGAGTGATTTTTGCACACTTATCAAGGTATTTATTGTTGTTTATAGATTTAATTGCATGAATTCATTCAATTTATTATATAAATTCAGTGGAATTTTCAAATATTTTCGACATTTTAAATTAAAACTTATGACGCAATTCCGTGCGTCTGTCCTCTAATAGATCATGGCTCTCGACCAATGAAATCGCACGAATTCTTAAGGTTTAGTTATTACATAAATAACAAGAACAGTCTCCAACACATGTAACAACTTATTCACTAATAAAAATAACTTTTGCTTTATTTGAGATGGAATAAAAAAATCAGCTACCATTGTCGATGGAGGCTTTATTATTTAGCATTTTTAATTTTGCATTTCCCATTAATTCTTAACCTGCATTTTTTACGTTTTCTAATTTTCTGGGAGATGATAGTGGGGGCCCCTAACTGTCGGGGCCCCTTAGTTTTTGAACTAACCCTACCCAATGAGCATAATACGCCAATGATGTGAGTGGCAATGATGTAAGTATCGTTGAACAACTATGACGTGCTAGAATGCTCAAAAGAATAAAATTTAACAATCGCCTTTGTCTTAGTGTAAAAAAGCTATTGTTGATGAGCATGCCGGCTTCACCGACATTGCCTTTGTATTTCCCAAACTCACTAGTTTGCAAAATATCATGGCTAGCGCCTCGTGGAATTTCTCAGGACATTGAATTAAATTAAATATTTTTACCATTGGCATTGTAAATTGCGAGAGTAGATCCAGGCTAATCCAAGCGCGCATGGCCCCTGCTATCACCACTGCAAAATACATTTATTTAAAATGCCAAAAATCATCAAATTTCAGTGGACTGTACTTGTTGATGCTGATTGGGGGGGGGGGGGACTGTGTACCCCCAGGCACACCCATACATATTAGCATGTACCCCCAGGCACTACCAATAAGAGTAAAGGCATTACCCATTGGAGTAAAAAATGGCTCATGGAGATAAATTTGAAGAAAACACAAATAATGATTATTGAAAAACGAAAAACAAGAAAGGCAAGCCCAAAGTTTAATCTTGGAAATCGGACCATAGCAATCGTACAGGAATACTGTTACCTAGGAGTGAAACTAAATCACAATGGCAATTTCACTTCAGCTCTAAAGCAACTAAGTGAGAAAGCCTTGCATGCTTTATATGGTATAAGAAGACAGCTCAACTTCAGCCGCCTCAATCCCAAATATGCCATTAAAATATTTGATTCTATTATAAGCCCGATCCTACTATACAACTCTGAAGTATGGGGGACATACGTGAAAAACGATTTCAACAATTGGGACAAGTTACCAATTGAAAAAGTCCATCTTAAGTTCTGTAAAATATACCTCGCTGTCAGTAGGAAAGCAAGTAACATTGCTTCCAGAGCTGAGCTTGGAAAACTCCCTCTTATTATCAATGTATTCAAAAGGGTCTTCAAATACATCACTCACGTAAACTCACTTCCCGAAACAGCCATTGCAAAGCAAGCATTTCTAATCTCGAAAGATCTCTACTCTAGGCAGAAAACTTCCTTTTACGGAAATGCAATGGATACAATCAAAAATTTAAACCTAAATGAAGAAATCCCTAGTCTGGAAGCCGTAACGTCTGAACATATTGAAGCTATTACCAAAACCCTTGAGGAAAAATACTTGACATTCTGGAAACATAAACTTGAAAATTCATCCAAATTAACTTTCTATTCAACATTCAAAACGGACCACAACCTCGAAAAATACTTAATACTTATAAAAGACCCATACAAGAGAAAATGTCTTTCACGTTTTAGAGTTAGCAGCCATAACCTCCAAATTGAGATCGGGCGATACCAAAATACACCCCGAGAAGAACGCTTATGTGAAATCTGTAATTCAGGAGAGGTGGAAAACGAAACCCATTTCCTACTCTTTTGCAAAGCCTATGAGCATTCTCGTGAAGACCTCCGAAGTTCTTTAGAGAATGTCTCATCTAACGAGATTAAACTGAACTCTCAAACTCTATCAGCTGACTTAATGAAGTCAACTGATAGTGAAATCATAACTAAACTGTCAAAATTTGTTTATTCATGTTTTGAACAAAGGCTTAAATACCTTGAAAACAGGAGTGCTAGTTAGCATAGGTTGTAATAACCACCTTATTTGTAAATATTATACTTGTCTACATTCTTTCTTCTTATTCTTATTCTTATTAACGTTAATGTTATGTTAGTCTATTAAGTATTATTGCACAGTCATATACTACTTTGTAAATTGTATAATCCTAGTTTACCATAGTTCTCTATATATTGTTATAACTTTTATACGCTTTAGCAATACTGTACACTTATAGTCATGCTAATAAAGCTATTATTTACCTATATATAAGTTACCCCCAGGGGGGGGGGCGGGGGGGGCGAATCTCCTGTGACACCGGAGTTTTGACTGCCGGAGCCGGTGCTAAAATAACCGGAGTTTGCACAGCTCTACGAAGAATCGCAATATGTAGCTCTATTAAAACGAGGCTTGAGCATTTCAGCAAAGTTTTAGGGGCTAAAATTTCACAAGTGGCTCATCTTGTGATCTCGAGCATGTGAAAGAATTCAACCTGGCCAACAACTCAGCCTGGGCTGAAAGCTCATCATGTATGTAATCATGTAATGCATGCGTCACTTATATCAGCAAACAGAGCCGCCGAGAGGTTGCGCGGGGCAAAACCTTCCAAGGGGGCCCCTATGGACATCATAATCACAGAAGCGGTGTCAGTACAATATATATTACACTTTATTATAATAACACATATTATCCGACACTATATATAACGCAACTGGGATTTATATTCTCAGTTAAGCAATATTGTATCAAGAAATGTTGAGGGCCTTCGTTGCTTTGGGGCTCCTTTTGAGCAGGGGGCCTGGGGAAACCCCCGCTCTCGGCGGCGCTGTCAGAAAACTAGTACCTTCTTCCAAAGTCTTACAAGAGCTTTGCAGTCCTGTCCAAATTTTTTCTTGCTTGCTAACTTCTTCGTCAATTTGTTTTAAGTCAGTTTCACTATAGTCCCCGTATTGTGCCTAAAATATCAGTTTGAAATTAATAGGATTATAAAACACAATATGTTACATATCAATGGGGTCAGCCAATAAATGGGGTCAGCCAAAAACGCCGTTAAATATCGCCACTGACAAGTTAGTGTTTTAACGGACGACGGGTTAAAAGGTTAAAGTACAAACATATCTAATTTCCTGACCCTGAGGATTCATTTTTGTGTTGAATTGAATATGCCCAGCTTTAGTGTAGTGGCAATTCAGACTAGAATCTCCAGTCTTTTCTGGGTTGGTGTGCATTTGCCCCTTCATCGAAATGACGGCAACTTCTGTATCGTAATTATATTACACTCTATACAGTGATATTTTAATACCTGCTTGGGTGCATAAACCTTTTGTTTTCCATACACCTTTTCATTTATTTTCCCCGCAACTGCCAGACTCTCACATGCTTTAACAATTGCCTACGTTAGAAGCACATGAAAATTACAATGTTTGCAAGTTAATTTAATACGAAATATACCATCATATTAACAGGCGTGGAAAACGTAGCGGACAATGTGGCCATTATTGGCTCCAGAAAACTTTGGGTCAGCGTAATCAAGGTTGGCAACCACACCCACGGGCCCCGGCACAAATTGATGAACAAGCCCCCCCCCCCCGTCCTTCTTGACTCTCACTAGCGTGTTTTGATTTTAAATAAAATTGATTGATGATGATGATGACGATGATGATGACGCTGATGGTCACATCAAAGTCTATTTTTTAATCGCAATCAATGAGGGAATCGCCAGTGAATTACTTGCAAGAAATCGCCGGAGAATTTCGGTGTCGATGGCGCGTGTGGCGTGCATGCATGTTACCGTACCGGCAGATGGACGTTGTGTAGTCTTTAAAAATAGTTACTCTTCATGAATTATGACTTTATTATTTGGCAGATTTTTGTTTACTTTCTGTAAAATACAGCAAAATTAATATAGTTTCATATAAAGAAATAATTTACTATTAATTTATTTTATTTATTTAGTCAACTAATAATTTCAACAGGACTAACCACTCAACAGTCAAGTAGTCAACTCATATTAACAATGACTAAACATATTATGGTCACAATGTCACATGCATGTTAAGTTGATATAATATAGTTTTTTTCTGTTTCGATTCATTCCGCTCTTGATATTAATATTATAGCCATATAGGTCTTAGCTCAGGCCTATAGGTCTTAGCTCGGTCACGGACATTGTCCGACCCATTCGTGAAATTGTCCGACGTAGAGAGGAAACCACCGGACATTCTGTCCGACCAAAGTGAAACTGAGGTTTATTGGTTGTCCGACCCGAGTGTATTAGTGTCCGACCGAACTGTAGCTTTGCAGGACTAGATGCTTGTATGTTAAATGGAAAATCAGAGTACTATTGTATAAAAGGTGAACTGGAAATGTTGTTTTAACGTATAGTCGAGCGCGGGGCGGCGAGCGAAATGGTGAAGTGGAAAACGGGCTTAAGTTGTCGAAGTCTTTTTTAATACTGCTGTTCTGGCAAGCAAGTTAATTTTGGCTTGGAAATAAGTATGAAAGAAACAAATTATTTAATATCTTTACAACATTTACCGTTTATTCATTTGTGCCATTCAGACTTATTTCCGAGTCAAAACTGATCTGAAGGTCATTTTGAAGGTCACTCAACGTCACCGGACATTTTGTCAGACGGCCCTGGAAAAGATATTTTAAAGCCTGTCTTAGCTTGCTTTTACTGTTTTAGGTTGAGAAAAACATTTACATAAATTCCATGTTTATCTATGACAATCTGTCATCTGTGTCTGTGATATATCACTGTGGATATATTAACTGAAACTTGAGTTACTGTAACAGCTGTTTTACAAACTAAAACTTATATTTAAATTAATTTAATTATTTAATAGAATAATGCATGAGTTTTTCTGAAACTATTTTCGCAGTATACAAATGAATAGCCAATAGGGTTGGGCGATATTTAAAAAATCATCTCACGATTATTGTCAAGGAAATTATCACGATATTCGATAATATCGCGATAAATGAAATAAAAACAATGACCACATTTTCAATTTTAATTAATATCATTGCATAGTAAGCTTATATATAATCTTACTAAAAACAAGTAAAACAACAAATTAAAGTAATATGAAGGCATTTTCTAGTCTAATATTTACTGTTCGTAAACCAGAACTGTCTATGCAGTGTCTCCGCTGGTTCGCCTGTGATTTTATTCGCTGTTTTGCCTCCCGAATTTCATTTCATTTTATCGTATCGAATTCGTATTTAATTCAGGAAATAGTTTTAATTCTTTTAAAAACTATATTTTCTAGGAATTGAAAAGAGTTTTTTTTAGGATTTTATAAAAGCATTATACACATGCGAAGCAATATCACGATAGTCATCGAGCATGACGATAATTTCGATATATCGTCGCTCAAGTTTCTACCTTCGTCTTCGATACAATAATCGCGATTGGAAATATCGCGATAAATCAAAATATCGAAATATCGCCCAACCCTACAAATGAACAACAATTGTCCAGTGTCCAGTATACAAATAATGAATGTTTATGAGTGCAATGGCAAGAATATTTTCATGACTGGTGAAAGATGGAATGTTCCAGTCAACGAGGAGACAGCCGAGTTGAATGGAACATTCCATCTTTCACCGAATGAAAATATTCTTACCATTGCACGAATAAACATTCATTATTTGTTTTACATAATACCAAAATAGACTAATAGATTCGTATGAGAAGCATTTTGACGGATGCGATTTATCGAAAACACAAAGAGTGCAATGGAATAAAACGTATAGTACAATTGCACTCGCAAAGAGTGCAATGGAACGTATTCCATTGCACTCTTCTTGGGAAATGGAATTTTCTATTTAAAGCACTTGTAGTCGTGTTTTATCAGATATAAAACGCTCGGAGCATCACCTCACATAATAAATTTGCTCAATAAATACTTCATTTCATTAAAGACGGGATGTGAACGATGATTAGCTAACTGCTTACTGCTTTGCTGAGAAAACTATCGAAAAATCGTTTCACATTTGGTACGTTTTACGATTGATCACGACGATCAGCGGATAGTGTGCAAGTAGGCGTAATTCATTTAGGACAAACATAAACCGATGATAAACGGTACGAACATTTTACCGAGATTTCCAGGCCCTTCTGAGCACTCCGGGTATTTTGCCCCCCCCCCCCTCTCTCGCTGGCCTTGAGCATAACAGTATCAAAATGAAAAAGAAAGTATCAAGAAAAATATCAAAATGTACTTCAAAACTTGGAATCTTATCCAAAACGTCTCTTCAATACTTGCATGGAATCCTGTGGTCCTGGACCACAGGAATCTTGATATTTTGAGAGCTTTGACATTTGTTGGGCTTTCATGGACTTCTACATGGCAACTGTGGTTTAATTATAAACATTGAAACCTTGTAAATACATATAAACTTATAAATGTCCATGTTCAAGTTGCAACAGTACACAAAAACATTCGGTCAAAGCTATGACCATAGTTAATAGAAATAAACATGGTTAGGAAGGCCGGTAAACTTCAAAGAATTTCCTATACAAACTTCAACTGATGTTGAAATGTAATTCCGAGTGCACACATCTTTTGTCTTGCGTTTATTAATATTCAAATATTAGGGTTCAGCGATTGAAACTAAGGTTCTCATTGGGTAATCGCCTCATTATACAGAATCCGAGTGCACAAATTTCCATAAACTTGGACAAAAACATAGAACAATGACTTTTGTCAAGCTTCCAAACCATGTTTATTTTCTACTAACTATGCTATGACTTACATACTTGATACTTTTACAAAATAATCTCACCTGCACTGTATGGTCTATTCTGTTTGTTGAGATACTCAAGAATTGAAGTGGTAGCTATAATAGAATATCACATGCGTATTTAATTCGCTGAGTGTTTTATATAGAGAACATAGCCTGATATAACTTTATAAATAGTGTACATATTGCATATTTTATATGCATGTCAATGTCATTGTCAGTAATCAGTATATTAAAAATAAAAGTATGGAAGAGTGGAAGACAGACGAAAAATACCTTCACATTTTTTACTCATGCTTGAATCACGTCAGTCGTCAGGTCATTAATAGGGTCTACTAATAGTTTAGGTTCTCAGGAAATTATAATAAAATTAGATTGAAAACATTTGAAAATATTTTCTAAATTCCTCTGTTTATTTTCTTTATTTTTCAAGTTAAAATTTCCCGCGCGAATTCTTACCGCGCGCAACGCGGAGTCTGGTACGGAATTTACAGTAATACACTGATCCATATATTGTATCTGGAATATTGACATGCGCCTTTTGTTCTTTATAGTAAGCGGTTTCCCCCAAGAATTCCTCTTCTTTTCGTCTCTCTCAACGAAGTAAACAGAAATGGTAGTGTAGTTCTTAAAATCCTTTATTTTCCATGCCCATCCTATGTTTTAAAGTCACAAAACACGAGTATATCGAGTTTAGAATCTTGTCTTGTCATTTTAGAGCAATTTTCTATTAATTTCCATAAATATTTTCTTTAGGCTAAGCGTACAAAAAAGGTCGGAGTTGTAGGAAAATATGGAACCCGATATGGAGCTTCGTTGAGAATTCACTAGAGCTATCTACAGTGTATTTCATAGACGAATGGGTTTGTGATATTTCCATTAGATTGCATTAATGATTTAAATAGTTTTAATATACTCTGATGATGATAATTTGCAATAAATGCGAAATATCGGAAAATCATTTACGTCTTGTTTTATTGCGTTTCAAGATGTTCAACTTCAGATTATGTTTATTTGTTTTGTTCTACAAAAAACTGTCCAGAATCATGATTTTGCAATACAGTTCCTGACTGGAAAGTTTGGAAATTGTGTGGCCTAGATTTCGAAAATTTAATAGTAAATATATAGAAAGCATCAAAATTGCACGGCCGAGATATTGGCCACATGCCAGTGTGGAAAGTTTGTATTGTGCAGCCAAGATATCAGGCGTGCAATTTTGATGCTTTCTATATATTTACTATTAAATTTTTGAAATCTCGTTCGCAATTTCCAAACTTTCCAGTCAGGGCCACATGGTACAAACTTTCCACACTGGAATATACTAGAGATGTGAAGATAAATTGTCAGGTCTGTCTGTGGTGGGGTAGTCCGGGTGTCATTCTGGGAAAATATCGGCAATTTTGTAGGGGTTAGTTCCGGCCGGAACCCTGATTTTTTAGAGTTCCGGTTCCGGCTGGAACGGGAACTAATAAAAAAAGCATGGCCGGAACCGGAACTCTGTTGTTTTCAGAGAGATAGAATATCAAACGTTTTTGTGTCTAACAAAAGGTCACAGTAGGAAGAAATTTGGACTACGCAAGGGAAATGTACACTACTAACACTTCATTATGATGTTTAACGTTTGTCAATCTTTTTATTCTAACATTTGCGAGCTCTCTCCTTGATGACTTGAAGTGTCTGCTTATCTGGCAGTGGACAAAGTAACATCTGACTATATATGGCTTAATAAATTAGTTCCGGTTCTGGAAATATAGCATTGAAAAATAGATGCATTGAAAATATCAAAACACGTGGAAATTGGGAAAACTCGAAATTGTGTGAAAACACTCCGCCTTTTGGGCGTCGTGTTTCCACACAATTTCTGGTTTTCCCAATTTCCACTCGTGTTGATATAACTGTATATCAACATGGAAAATGTTTTATACTTGTTAAATATAATATATATTAAATTAAATTAATCCCCCCCCCCCCAATACTTTCACAAAATACCCTGCATTATACAAGATAAAATAACTGAGAATTAGGGCAGTGTGATTATTGTGTCAAAGTCCAAGACAAATTTGACTTTTTTGACCTTGGCATGCCAGGATAACGTAACAGAGTCGGCTGCATTGTGGCCTAGTGGTTAAAGAAATCCACTGTGTGAAAATATGGCCAATCCTATGATCTGTGGCATTTTGGGATGAATTTGGAGCGGTTAGCTTAAATGAACTTGTTAATAAAATGTGAAAACTAGTTGTCTTGTATATTGTATCACTTGCATCATGCCATTGGTGCATTGCCATTTGAACCTGGAAAGTACTTAGACTTATAGTACATGAAATAAACACAAACCTGAAACCATGCACAGTAGCAGCAAGATTCAAGACAGAAATGAGTCTTTGCTGTTTCCGTTCTTTTCTATTTATCTGATATTCTTTTTGATCTTTCTCCATGACCATGTGTTACTAGTAAGTTCCCTTCATTCTACCAGCGGTGTTAGTTGATATAGCCTAAGCCGGGCTAAGGATGCTCAATTGGTGACGAGTTCCATTTCAACGCACATTAACGCTTCGTAGCCAACAGTGACGTGACTAAAATAAAATAGGATAAAATTGTGCCTCGAGTTCAATCGATTGCTTCGTGTGCACTCAATCAAAATTTGGGTCTTTAAAATTCTAAAAACATTCTGAGTGGCGTAAAGATCAGCGCCTGTAAGTATATATTAACTGCATCAGTTTGCCATAGCCTAATTTCTGTATAATGCCAGACTATTTCATGCACTCGTCAAGAAGAATCTGCGAGGGGTGTTGATGGTTGATCACACCATCTTCACTTTCGTAAGCGATTTTTGATGGGCTTATACAAGGGGGGCGGGGGGCTAATACATGGACGATCTTTTGTGTTCGGTCATAAACAAGTCGGTCATAAACAGGAAAATAAACGTGTATTAATACTGGTAACGCGCTTATATTCGGGGGGTCTTATATTTGGAACTGAGCGTTAGTATGGGCACTTTTGAATTGATATATACTAAGAAATGTTTGCAAAACATCGGGAGTTGAACTTCGCCTAATGCTTTCTATTTATTGGATGATAGGGGTGTGAGGGGGTTCTCCGCCAGGCGATTCAGTCGAGGGGCATTTCACTCCAAAAAAGCGTACGGGATTTTCGGATTTTTAAAAATCCGCGGATTTTTCCCGGATTTTTGAAGAGAAAATCTGTTGGATTTTCCGGATTTTTTCGGATTTTTTGACGAAGCGTATGGGATTTTCGGATTTTTAAAAATCCGCGGATTTTTTAGCGGATTTTCCCCGACGACTGCATTTCTTGCGTTTTCTGAAGCAAATTCGTGAAAGAATTGCACTAACATTTCTGACAATTCGCTATTTCGCCAAGGCAATCCCTGGAAATGTTGTTTTTCGAACGCAGGGCGGC